TATCAACATCTTCCTTTAATTCAAACCTCTTTAGTATTTCCATTCTTCTTAACGTCACCCCTTAAACTAAACACCTTTTGATTCTCCATTCTCCTTAACATCATCTCTTAAACTAAACACATTTTGATTCTCCATTCTTCTCAATATCACCCCGTGAGCTAGACTTCTGTTGTTGACTTTCATCCTTTATGCTGAGAATGATGTTTTTGCTCTGTCATCAAATGTAAATCGTTCAGGGAAGAGACTACATTTAGCTTGCTTCTAAGTAGCTCAAATTGTGACCCAAAAAAAGTCTTTGTAAGAACATCAGCAATATGATACTCATATGCCACATATTGTACACACAACTTTCTCTTAGCTTCTAGTTCTCGTATGTAATGAACATCTATCTCGATGTGTTTGGTTCTAGCATGGAAGACAGGGTTTGAAGATAGAGCTTCTGCACTCATATTGTCACACCAGAGTACAAAAGTTCTATTTATTTGTAAACCAAAGAGATTCTGAACCCACACCAACTCTGTAGCAGCCTGACTCAGAGCTCTATACTCTACTTTTGTGGAGGACAAGGCCACTACTCTTTGCTTCCTAGAGCTCCATTGCACTAGGTTACCACAAAAAATTCTATAACCAAAAGTTGATCTTCGGTCACGTATGTCACTTGCCGACTTAGCATCTACATATCCTTCTAACAGAAAATTTTGATTTTTCCAAAAGATCAATCCATGCTTACTTGTGCCTTTGATATACCTTAGAAACCTTTTGCATGCTGTCCAATGAGCCATGGTAGGATACTGTAAAAACTAACTCAATCTATTCACGACAAAAGCCAAGTCAGGTATTGAGTGAGTAAGGTACTACAAACCCTTACAATGCTCCTGTATAATGTTGGTTGATCAAACAAGGTGATGTCTTCTTTACTTAACTTGGTATTTAAGGACATCGGAGTCTGACATGGTTTACAATCTTCCATTCCAGCCTTGACTAACAAATCATGAGCATATTTTGACTAAGTAAGAAATAGACCTGAATGATCTCTTTGTACTTCAAAGCCAAGCAAGTAATTCAAGGCACCAAGAGTTTTTAAAGCGAACTTTTGGTTTAAATCTTCCACAATCTGAGTGATTAGTGAACAGTCTGTCCCCGTAATTAGTATATCATCTACATATACTAAAAGGTAGATGATTTGAGACCTTTGTTTCCAGTAAAATAAGCTCGTATCTGATATAGAGCTGACAAAACCCCATTCAAGTAAAAAGTGCTTCAGTTTGTCAAACCATTCCCCAGGGGCTTGTTTTAAACCATACAAAGCTTTGTTAAGCTTACAAACATAATGAGGAAACTTGCAATCAGTAAAGCCTATAAGCTGCTTCATAAAGACGGATTCTATCAATTCACCATTGAGAAAGGCATTAGTAATGTCAATATGTTGAATATTCCATTGATTATGCACCATAAGAGACAAAATAATCCTTACGGTGGCAGGCTTGATAACAGGGGAAAAAGTATCAAAATAGTCAAGCCTAGGAGTTTGTTAGAACCCTTTAGCCACTAATCTAGCCTTGTATTTTTGTAAGGTTCCATCAGGTTTCAATTTTGTCTTAAACACCCATTTACATCCTACTATATTCATATCTGGTGTATAAGGTACTAAAGACCATGTTTCATTTCTTATCAAAGCTTTGAACTCATCTTCCATTTCAACTTTCCATTCGGGTATAATCAGTGCTTTAGAAGTAGTTGTTGGCTCATTAAGGATATTTTGAGTGGCTATGAAGGCATGTCCTACACAGGTTAAGTGATAATCCGTGGATTATACTGTTTTTATTAGACTTTTTTGTCGGATTTTAGGTACTTTCTAGTTCATTTTGACCTGAATTGTTGCTTAATTCTTTACATTTCATGTTTCAGGTTAAAATGGACATTTTGAGTAAATAAAGACAGAATTAGAAATTCTGGACTCAGAAGTAAGCGGATCTCAGAAGTTGGGAGAGTTCTGAAGCAGGGTAAAGCACTATGAAGCGTGTTCCTAAGGGAAAGCACCGAAGATCGAAGAATCAAACGAAGATGCAAGCAAATGAGCAATTCTATAATTTCAGAATTTTTCAGGAAGCTTCGCCACAGCGAAGTGCGCCAGTCACGCACCAATTCTGCTTCTTTCTTCGCCGCGGCGAGATTTCTTCTTAGCCGCGGCGACGACTGTAATTTCCAGTTTTGTAAAACGTACAGTTTTAATTTTGCATTTTTTTCTTAGGAATTTGGGCGAGGTATAAATGAAACACTTGGCCTTTTTGCAAGAGAGTCGTGTGGGAGGAGTGTTAGCAGCTTTTACATTTTCTTAGATTGATTCTTGAGCGATTTCAAGATTAACAAGGGGGAAGATTCGATTTTGAACTAGAGGATTCATCATTTGGGGAGATTTCTTGTCTTTTCTCTTGTTTTCATTATGTTGAACTTTAGTATTTTCGTTTCTTTTGTTTGTAGTGTTGATTTAGCCATGAACTAACCCATTTTGGGTTAGGGTTTTGATTGTAATTCGGATTTTCATGGGTTAAATAATTGATTGTTTTATTTTTCATATGATTGTGCTTTGATTGTGTGTTTACTCTGATTTTACTGTTTATATCTGATGAACATGATGAGATTGAGAAATGAATCATGTTAGGCTTCTTGGGTAATCACCATTGTAGTATTGGATGCTAGAGATAGATTCAAGAATTAGTGAAATCATTATAGGATTCTGTGCTTAAAGAACTTAGATTTATTAACTTTCAATTTGTTGGGTGCGGAAGGTTAATAGAGAAGAGTAGGAAAATATAGCCTGAGAAGGTATGTTTGACACGTTAGAGAGTTTAATTTACAATCAATGCATGTGAATATGAAGTTAGTTTAATTCTTTAGGTTTAACCCATAGAGTCCGAATGAAGTTAAAACCCTACCCTTTTGTTTGAATTGATTGTTATCCGTGTTTTTCATTTCGCATTTATAGTTAAATTTTAGTTTAGTAAATTCGGATTTAGTTTTTATTTTAATTTGCTCCCATTAATCCAAAAGAAGTCGATTGCTCCAACTTGAGAACAGTGGGAAACTTAGTGCTTAGCTAACAATCCTCGTGGGAACGACACTCACTCATCACTCTATTACTTGAGCGACTAGTATACTTGCTACATATTGCATGTTGTAGGAAACACGCATCATTAAGTGTGAGCTTTTTGATCTTGTAATCATAAGGTGTTGGTTTAATATTGGTTGAGGTTGAGAGATAGGTAAGACTACCTCCAATTGTATATCAGGATAAGTTTTTGAATTATCAACCCCCTTAAGCTCTTTATATGGCACCGTAGTGTGACTAGTGCTCAGTGGAGTTAGAATAGTAATTTTTATACTAGCATCAGGTTCTTTGTTGGCTGTGCTATGTACAGTTGAGGCATCCCTAGATTGAACATGTAGATTATCACTAAGTACATGTACTAAGCTAGGAGGAGTTAGAGAACTCACATTAACAGGTTCATCAAGGACCTTATGAGCAGCTGGAGCTAGAACATTAGCATCTAGAGCTAGAACATTGGTATGTGTCCCCACTGTGTTTGTCATAAAATCTATACCAACAATCCCATCAAGATTCTTAGGAACAGAGTCTGACATCTGAACTTTATGTTGAACCTGTTTGGAGTGTAAATCATCATCTCTTAACACATTTCTAGAACTAGAGTCTGATGTGAAAGTATCACCAGGAATATAGCTGGTCTTATCCGAGCTGGGAATAATGCAGTGAGCAAGATTCCAAGACGTGGCAGTACATGCATTCTCTTTTGAGGTTGAATCTACAGTATCAGTATCTTTGAACAAGAAACATTTAAAACCTTCTTTGAAGGGAAACACAATCTCATTAAACTTAGCTTGTCTAACAATGTAAACTTTACCTAAGGAAGATAAACATTTCGAACCTTTATAAGAATTGCTATATCTTATGAAGACACATTTTTCAGTGTGAGAGGAGAACTTGTGCTTCTGGTATGGGCGAATGAAAGAATAACAACAACATCCAAAAACCTTTAACTCAACGTATAAACGTTCTTAGTGTAGTAATTTCTGGAATGGGGACATGTGTGCAAGAGGAGCTGACGGCAGCCTGTTAATCAAGGTTGCTGTTATGAAAGCTTGCCGCCAAGACAAAAGGGCATACCTGCAAGTGCTAACAAGGTTAAACCAAATTTTGTGATGGTTCTATGCCTTCTTTCTATTCTCCCATTTTGTTGATGTAGATAGGGGCATGGATGTCTAAAAACTATACCATGTGTCTGTAGATATTGAGTAAAAAGCCTGAATTCACCTCCCCAATTGGTTTGTAAGCACCTTAGTTTAGCACCTAATTGTTTCTCAATAAAGACATGGAACTGAGTAAAAATTTTAAGAGCTTCAGATTTAACTTTGAGAGGATAAATCCACATATAATAGCTATAGTCATCTACAAACAACATGTAATATCTAAATCCCTCAGATGAACATACTGGAGTAGGCCCCCACAGATCTGAATATACTAGTTCAAGACCAAAATGAATTTGAAAATCAGAAATAGGAAAAGTAGCTTGATGCATCTTTCCAAATTAACAGGCCTCACAAAATGTTTTATTAGCAATGGAGTCATTTACATGGACTTTATTCAATACAAATTGCAAGGTTTTCTCTTGTGGATGTCCTAGCCTAGCATGCCAAAGATTTGCAAGAGTTCTAGATTGAGTAGCATTGCTAATATTGGTGCTACTGAACCTGCTAAGATTTCTAGGTTGAACAGTGCTACTAACCTTACTATTGTAGGACATGCCAGAGCTAGGATTAATCTCTCCTACTGAACCATTATTAGAAACATCAAAGGACAACTTACTACTATTCGTGGAGTGATTATTACTACTAGTAGATTCAACAACATGATAGATTGTATGCGGCACTTTATTTCCAGATGTGAGAGTAGGTGACTTTGCAAATGGTAGAGAGGTTTGAAGCTAATAGAGCCCATCTTTCAGAGTTCCTTCTAGCACTATCTCCTTGGTAAATTTATCCTTAACAAGACACTTGTCATAATAGAACTCCACTATAACTCCATTATCCCTAGTTATTTGAGAGATACTCAATAAATTCTTGGCAATATGCGGCACACATAGCATGTTTTTAAGATACAAAACTCTATGTGAAGAGTTTGAAGTTAACAAGGACTTACTGGTATGTGTGATAGGGATATTCTGACCATTTCCTACTTTGACTGCTAAGCCTCCTAGATAGTTAGTCTTGAGGATCAGATTGCTTGGATCACAAGTGATGTGATTTGTGGCTCCTAAGTCCACATACCAAGTCTGATCAACAACTATTTGAGGAGTAGCAACGGGACCAGTTGAGACTACATGAGTTCCCTCTGCAGGTGTGCTGGCTAAAGGCATTCCAACTGTGCTGCATTGATTTTGATTAGTATTAAAAGCATATTGTTGATTACCACCATTAGAAGGAGAGCCACTAGAGTAAGTAGCTTGAGCAAATTGCTGTTGTGTAGGATTGACAATAAACCGTTGATTTCCACCACTAGGACCTGAGCCATTTGGGTTAGAGGAATGAATCCAACCAGGAGTAGTCTGCTACATAAATTGTCCTGGTATCATTTGAGCTGCCAGCATAGCCTGTGCTACTTCATTTGTCTGGTCAGGATTATGTGTTTGTGATGTAACAGAGGTAGAGGATCCTTGAGGAGAAAAATTAAAGCCATTAAAGCCTTGGAAACCTTGAACGTGGTCAAATCTATGATAGCAATTGACTGTAGAGTGTCCTCCTTTGCCACAAACTTGGCAAATCAGTTTACGCCTAAACTGACCCCGTCCTCTGCCTCGGCTATGCATCACATAAGGATTGAACATGTACATTCCAGGAGAGTTTTGAGCAGCAAATGAACCATGAGAGTTATTTGAAAAATATTGTGAATGATAGCCAAAAGGAAAAACTTGTCTAGAATTATTCCCAGAATTTACTAAACTACCAGTAGGCTGAGATAATTGAGGTATCAAATAACTCCCTAAAGAGTCCAAATTGCACCTAGCCTAACTCATTTGTTCTTGAGGCAGCATTAACATCTGTATAACTATGATCTGTAGTTTGTTTAGAAACCAGAAGAGCCAAAGTTAGTTGATCATGTAAGTGATTATAAGCACTATGTTGCCTCTCCAATCTTATTTCATGTTTGTGTAACAAGAATTGAGCCTCTTGTAGAGTGATAATGCTACTATTAGAGGTGAGATTTGCGTCAACATCATCATACTTCGGTCATAAACGATCTAATATATATAGCAACAGTTCCTCATCACTTAGACTTACACCACTAGCATTCAACTCATCTCCTAGTTATTTCATCTTAAGCACATATTCACTAATACTACATGAATCCTTCAGTGTAGTGTTCTAGCCTTAGAAACTGATTGGAAATGCAATTCTAAAACGTTCCAAATTTCATAGGCTGTACTAAACTTAGCAACATGTCTAAACATAGATTCAAAAACAGTTGAGAGAAGCCAGCTTACTAAAAACTTATCAACCTTTTTCCAATCAAAATAGTTAGGGTTTGGTTTCTTTACCTTCTCTCTTGATTCTTCAGATGTAACAATTAACATTGATGGACATACTTTCTCTCTAGTGATGAAGACATCCAATCCGTGTGAGCTCAAAGCTGGCAAGATCTGAGATTTCCAGAAAGTGTAGTTTCTTTCTTGAAGTTTCACGGAGATCGAAGGTAAGGTAGGCAATGTGATTGGACTTGTAACAGTAGCTAGTCCAGTTTCCATATTTTTCCTTCGTTTGAAGAGAAAAATTTGTAGAAAAATTTGAGCTGAGATCAACCTTAGACGTTAATCTAGGGCTCTGATACCATCAAAAGATGCAGATATGAAGAGCATAATCTAGAAGATAGTGCAGAAAAACAGAGCAAAAACATGTGAATTCTAGAAAAATGAGAATTTGTTATTTTTTTCTAACTAACTGAATAACAAAGAGAAGAAAGGCTGACTTTATATAGACAGCCATCAGTTATAAAATACAGCGTTTTATAACATTTGTATATAGAAACGCTGCATATTAGTTACACTTAAAGCATTACAAGTATTAAACTAAACTTCTTCTTAATTTGCATAAGCCGAGACCAAGTCCTACAGTCTTCTTCTTCTTCTTCTTCTTCTTCTTCTTCTTTTATCAACATCTTCCCTTAATTCAAACCTCTTTAGTATTTCCATTCTTCTCAATGTCACCCCTTAAACTAAACACCTTTTGATTCTCCATTCTCCTCAACAGGTTGCAAAATATCTGAAGCAAGAGTGTAAGCATAGATTGCTGTGCACACACACTCGAAACAAAACAAGCCAAGACACAAGTCTGGCAAATAGTGTGCATTGAGAACTGATGTGCACACACACAATAGATGAAACAAGCCAAATAAAAGGATTGGTAGCCAGTGTGCACATACACAGCTCATAAGTTTGACAAAAATGAATATTCTCTACACAGGACTCATGTTTGCATATTAATATCTTGTTGAGAGTCTTGTTATTCTGTGAATCTATTTAAAATTCTCCCTTTCATGCTTCGGCTAGGTTGTTACCAGTGTTGGTGTAAGTAAATAAATGGTAGTTGTGTTGCTGGATAATATACTTGGGTGTTTTTGGCTGGGCAGTAGACTTGATGGTACTGGAAGCATGCTTTAAATAACAAATAAATGGGTGTGCTATGGTTCTTATTTGTCTTATTTATATACATATAACTTGGCTGAATATTGCACTAGTTTTGGTCTGAAAATGTGAGACTTCATGCAGCATATTCTTTGGTATGAAAAGGGATGGTTTTGTGGAATTTTATAATGAAATATATGTGCTTACAATGAGATGGAAATGGCATTGTAAAGAGCAATTAAAATTTGGTTGGTTAACATGCTTGGAAAGGCTAAAATTTTGCTTTGGAATAGAATAAATTACAGATGTTTTTCTGCTTGTTCTCGGCTGTTACATGTAGCAATATGGGGAAGTTTTTAATTGTAAATGAAGTGCTGGAATTGAGGTGTTTGGCTTGGAGTAATATAGGTGATTAAAAGGCAGGTCAAGGGGAGTTATATAATGTCCAAGAAGATTTTATTTTGTTTAGAATTTCAAGTACTTTGTTTATTCATGCTTATTTCATTATAGTATGAAATATTCTTATATATTATTTTTTAGCTCTTTGGTTTAACTATAATTATAATGTGTTATATGAGTTTTGGCTTTTAAAAGTGATATTTGCTTATGATTAGTGTTGGACATTTGCTATGGTAATGTGACGTTGAAGTACTTTTTAATCTGGGTTAAACTATCAGATTTGAAACAGGTTCAATTTCACCAGTGAATGTGATTTTTGAATACTGTGTCATATATGCATGATTTATAAGCACATATGTGATATGTTCTTGACTTTTATGTTACTTGAGATTAACATGAGATGCATGATTAAATGAGAGTTTAGTGCTTTTGATAAATATACTAAATGGGAAACGAAAAAGGGTTGATTTTTCAGTTTGGAGACATGTTTATAAATCTTTATTGTCACCCCTGTGGCATAAAATATCATATTTTTCAAGCAAAATATACATTTTTCATGAAGAAAAATATGTTAGACTATGTATAAGAATAAAAGTGGTTTTCAAACCACCCTATGAAGTACTCGTCCCCTAATGATACAGATGTTGGCTCTGCGCATGCTGTGATATATTTTCACTGTTATACCTGGTGAGGGGTCCATCGGGTATAACAGTTTTAGATTTTGGCTCTACGCATGCGTGTGATAGATTTTTTCCTCTACCTGGGCATTGAGTTTTTTACCAGGTATGATAGTTTCAAAGGTTTTGCCCGTGCGATGATAGATCTTGTCGGGTATGACAAGTACATCCCTTGCTTTGCCTGTGTGCAGGATGCCCACCAGGTATGACAAATTTCCCCCAAGATACTAGCTGTGGTGAGAGTTTTCAGTCATTAGTATCACAATTAGTTTTAGAATGTTCGGAATCAAATTCAATTTATAGTATCAACTATGAGCGACAGTCTCAATATGAATTTTCAGAATATTAAGAGAGGTTTCAATATTAGCCACAGTTCTAAAATAAGATATCAGCTTATAGTTTTCTATATCAATAATAGCTATAGTATTTAGTTTAAAGTTTTGTTATCAACATAATGTTTATAGTGATCAAAAATTATTTTACAGTATTCAGAAATCAATTATTAGTGCATAATTTCAGAAAATCAGCTTTCAGTTTTATATCATCACAGTAGTTATTAATTCAGTTACCCGATGTTGATTTCAAATTTTGTAGCATAGTAAATATGAATTATTATCATTTTTTGTGAATCATAAGCATTAATTGAATGATGGTTTGGATGTTTGCAGCATGACTTGTAGAGTTATTATTTTCAGAATCATTAGCATTCTTGAGAGATGATATAGATGGCTACAACACAACGTTTTAGAAAACATTGTTTTCAGAAGCATAAGCATTTCTAGTTATATTTAAAGTTTCCAGAAAAGAGTTTTAAGCATTCAATGGATACGATTTAGAATTTGCTTTTAGCTTGAATGTTGAGATTACAATACTTAGAACACTTAGAAACGAGTTATACACGCATACATGAATGATTTAGTTGCTTCCATAACATGTTCATAGAATCATTTTGTTTTCAAGATTTCATAAGAACTATTGCATGTCATAACTATTGTTTGAAGAATGTTTTGCAAACTCTCCCTTTTCCCCCACTCACTGACTATTTCAGCTCACCCCTTTTTAGAAAATTTTCTCCCAGCTTCTAAGGAAAAATTGTGCCAAAGAATGATTCCTCTCGAGGTTGGGCCCACAAGTCATCAACTCATCATGTGTATAAAAGAAATATCATATTTTGTTTCTGCTGCAGAAAATATGTTTCATTTCCTATGTTTATCTCATGCTTGATTGAAAAATATATGAGAATCTAATACCTTACATTTTCGCTTTGTATAAAACATGCGATATGCTTTTCAGATTTTCAATTATGTATAGTGTTTATGTCTTTTATCATGATGAAACCAAGATATTGTTTTACGAAAACTATATTTAGAAAATACCACTCATGTTGCATCTATTCTTTGGATTATGAAAGGTGGTCAGAGGATGAAGAGTGAAGGGTGTTGAAACCGAAGGGTTTCAATCTAAATTGTTATCTTGTATTGCATGCCATGAAAGGGATAGTGTATTGGATATCTTTTATACATGGGGATCATAATTATATATGATGCAGCTTTTATTATACAACCTTTGGAAATTGCCTCAGAAAAGTTCCTAGGAATCATATAACTTCCATGCCAACCATACCAATTTCCGCCACCTCTGAATTTCAACTTGTTGGAGATGAATCAATCAGTTTGTCTCGTGAGTCCAGCTCCGATATTGAGTTAGATATATGGGTTCTGAAAGATTCAATTAAAAGCAATTGGATTAAGCAACATACTATCTCTTTTTTTTACCATGGTTGATAGTCGATGGCTGGTTTTGGAGAGTTGCAACAACAAACTTACATGCATGCATCCTCGTTAATTCCTTTTCTTAGCTCTACTGGTACACCGTTGGTAATCAGAAGTTAAGGCACATCAGATTTCGATTTTTCCCAATAGCAATTTCTGTCCTACATTAACCAAAGGAGAATAGCTAACTATATTAAAAGATGAGTAATATATATAACACATGTTAAGTTTAGTTCATTTAAAATTTATCATCTTAATAATATCATTAATTACCACGTAGAAAACTAAAGAAGACAATTGCAATTAGGATTAGTACTTCTTACACATATTTTGACCTTCTTTTTTATTACTTTGACTCGTTTTTATTTATTGTTTTCTTATTTGTTTGTATCTCTTTAGAAGAGAAATAAGAATATGAATTAATAGAAGTACTTGTCCTGCCTATAGTACTTACAAATATCTGTACTATATATATATTATCTTGTATTGCCGTGAAAGGGATATAGTATTGGATATCTTTTAGGGATGACGATTATTAATATGATGCAGGTTTTATTATACAACCTTTAGAATTGCCTCAGAAAAGTTCTCGGGAATTATACTACTTCCATGCTGATCGCCTTATAAATTGTTGGAGATGAAAGGATTACTTTGTCTCGTGAATCCAGGCTCAGCTGATTAGGGGTGTTCAGAAGCAATTAACCAAACTGTTTTTCAGTTTAGGAAAATTCCTAAACCAAAACCGAACCCGCTTGGGGGGAAAACAGGTTTTTTGGTTTACCAAAAAACTGGTTAACCGCTTTGAACAACTGGTTAACTGGTTTTGAACAGGTTTTCCCCTTTTTATTGGATAAAACTTTTTTTTTCCTAAATTAAATTGTAAACATGAACAATACATATCCAAATAAAAATTAAATATTCATACATATCCATTGATCACAATTAACAATACATTAAAAATTGATACAAATAAAAGTCTGAAATCAAACAAAAATAAAATTCTGTAATGAAACGTCCATACTAAAACAACAAAATAACTAAATAAGTTCCAGTGGAAAACAACAAAAGAAATTGTACAAATTTGGGGATTAAGATTATTATTATTATTATTTATTTAATATGTATATGTATATTAGAAAACCGGTTCAAAAAACATGTTTCGGTTAACCGGTTTTCTTTTTTACCCGAATCGAAAACCGAACCCAAAATCAGGTTTTTTTAATTCTTTGAACCGAAATCAAACCATTTTTTCGCTTAGCTGGTTTTTCAATTCGATTAACGGTTCAGTTCGGTTTTTGTATTTTTTTTAAACACCCCTATGCGGATATAATCTCTGTTTTGATCATGGTTGATAGCTAGACTGACTTCTTTGGGAAGTTTGTATTGGGATACGTTTACTCCATGCCTGGTTTTGGAGAGTTACAACAACAAATCTACATACATCCTCTTCAATTCATTATCTAAGTTATACTAGTACACCATTGATAATCAAAAGGTAAGGAAGATTGACTTTGGACATAGTTCTGTCACATTACCAGTTTCTGTATAAGATTAACCAAAGAAGACGAGTTAGGGTACGAATATGTACATTAGTTCAATTCAAATGTTAATTTTATATTTATAGGAATATACCTATTGATGCCAACTACATGTTAGGCTAGCTGTTATTGGAGTTAACGACTTATATTTATTGATGCACACTACAAGAAATTTAACATTTAGGGACAAAAATTTTCGTCATATAAAGTGCAAAATTCGTCCTTAAAAGTAATTTGAGACGACAGATCAAATCGTCCCCAAAGCCGCGTCGCCAAAGGGTAATGCCCACGGAAAAATATCTCGTCCCCAAAGCCATGCCATTGGGGACGAAATATGGTTTCGTCGTTAAAAATTATTTATTTTGTGACGAAATTTTTTGTCCACAAAAGAATAATTATTCATCTCAAATGAGACTGTTTCGTCCCCAAAAAAGCACAATTAGGGACAAAAAAATTTCGTCCCTAACTGGATCAATCATTGGGGACAAAAATTTTCGTCCTTAATTATGTGATGAATTGGGGACAAAATTTTCCATTCCCGATGTTGTGGTGAATTGGGGACGAAAAATTTCGTCCCTCATGGTGTGGTGAATTAGTGACGAAGAATTTCGTCCCTCATGGTGTGGTGAATTGGGGACAAAAAATTTTGTCCTTGATTGGGTTGATAATATGGTGATTAACCGTAATCCCAATTTATGAATCAACCCTACTAATTTTCCTTCATGATAAAACCCAGATTCATTTTCACTTCACTATATAAACAAACAAAACAACAAAAGCTGAGTTTCCCAAATCAAATTGCACTTCTTTATTAACAAAAACTGTCAACATTACAATTCCTACTTACCCACTACCACAGAATCTTCTAAGTAAGTTTCAGGATTCCAATCCCAAAAGAGTGAAACAAGAAACAAAATTGCAAACATCTTTGTTCTTTCCTATAGCCCAAAATCTTCAACACTGTCATAGTTTCTTATTTGCTTCCATCCCTACTACTTCGAGCTCAAGTTTATCCACCCTAAATGCAATCTCTTTGTCTTCAATAACATTTTGTTTACAATTCAGATTTTCTTGATTAGCTTCAAAGAATGATTTACCAGTTATTCCTCATAAAGTTGTTGTCGTTGCGACGTTAGTTGCTCTACTAATCTATCCAATGCTTCCTTCAACCACCCATATTAACTTTGACCAGCTTTTCTGGCTCCTGCCACACTCATCTGCACAAAAAAAGTGACATAATTATCAAAAAAATTTCTTTATAAGATATCTAACCAGAAACAGCTTTCTGAATGCCTTTGAAAAATAACATCATTCACAATAATTTTTCCTCCATTTTGCCGTCCGTTCAATTACCCACTGTTAACAGAGTGTTCTATATAAAATTTACCATGTATATTAGACACATTTATGTCAACGATGCCATTACTCAGACTGATCAACACAACCAAAACTCAGAAGAACACAGAAGAAGAGTTTTGATTGTAAAGGCAATAATTAATTGCAGTAGAGCCTGCCAATTTCAAGAATATACAGCAACAGAAATCAAAATAAATAATGGTCATTACTGCTTCCAATATATTGTCAAGCACATGAACAAGAAAAGTTTCCCAGAAAGTTGAAGAGGGATTACATACCTGAGATCAATGCCCATAAACTGAGGATTTAGCTGTATTCCAACCACCTAAAGAATTATATACAAGGTAAAAATATCAAGAATTTAAATATAGACTGTTAAAAATGACCAAACAGACAGAAAGAAAGTATTTGACAGACACTAACTTTTCCATTTTCAGTTACACAAATTGATAATTTAGCTCTTCAGTTATATAATTGTAATGCAATTACAAAAAAAGAGTTCGTATAGTAAATTATTAGTAGTTAAGAAGAGGACAGAGTTTGCGCTTACAGGAATGCTAATTCAGAAAGCATCCCAAGCTCTTTTGGAAGCTACCCAGATAATCTATTAACGCCAAACGCCGAAGTCCCTAACCAAAATGAGAACTAGTTGGCATAAAAAAAAAAAAAAAAAAAAAAGGAAAATAGTATGAGTTTCAAAATTAAAATTTTTTTTTCAACTGCTTACAGGTTTATTAATGCAGTTAGATTGCCGATAGATGGAGAAAGTGAACCTGACAAGCTGTTAAGATTCAACCTCCTATTAAAAACAGAACAACTAATAAGATTAATATTTAAGAACACAAAGTTCAAATCATTTTATGATGTTGATACTGTATGGTGTCAAGAGATTTAAGCATAATTCATTAAAATGAAGTAAAATATTTTAATAACCACCAACCTTCATCTAATGATCTAAAAATAATAATATATGAAATAGTAAACGACATGTTCCCACCCAAGGTTTAGCGTGGTAATTTTCCAGGTTTCATAAATTCCGCAGTCCCACCCATAAATTAACACCACTTCTTGTCTTTTAACATTTAAAGGCTAAAATGTTAATTTACTACATTTTAATATTTTCATTTTTGCAAAAACATTCTCTCACCCACTACCTAACTGATGCCAGCAGACCCTCTTGTTCATAACAAGCCAACAGTAGCGCCACCACTTAGCCACCACACCCTCCAGCCGAAGCTCCGACAAGTTAAGCTTACAATTACTACAATCGAAAATGAAATGCAACCCGAATGGCTACGAAACGGAGCTCACACTCATTTACCAACAATTCAATTTGGCTCTCGATCTCTTCCAGCAGCAAGCAAGCAAGCACCTGGACCTGCACCAACTTGAAACCCTCTAAAAGCGATGGCCACCGTTGCCGTCGCCACTACCATCCCAAAACTTATCCCAATTCTTCTCATAATCCTCCTCTCCTCCACCCTAACCTCTGCAAAATCCAATCACTTCATTACAATTATTTAAACATTTACAATCTACACATTGAGGTTGTGGCTCTATGGAGACACCTCAAATTCATAATTAAATGATTTGAGTCAGAATGCAAATTCAACCTTCAACAATGTCAATAAAATATAATGCTGTAAGTTATGATAAGTTAACTTGAAGAAAGATGCTGACACATAAGAGCATGCATGTACTCAAGAATGATGTTTACCAATTAAATGAATAAGTATTGAACAACCGCATACCAAACTTTCCAGGCACCAAAGAAGAAACTACATCACTTACAAGAAAACAAAACATTAAAGTTTCTGATAGCAGCTCAAGTTCACATAAATGTCAAATAACACACTAAACCTAATTTAATTAGAAAAAAGACAAAAATACACACCATCAAAAGTCAATTCGAATGAGGGTTGTCCAAACATTTCATATATACTTACAATTTGAACCTATAGTCTTAAGTTTATCACTTTGAAACTTTCATCATTTCACGCGACAATGCCTACTCTGAGTTTCAAAATACTCATGACATAGCATAAAACATTAAAAAATCTGCATTTCAAGCCAGATATACTACCTGAATGTTTATTCAACATCATACCATCCTATTTACAAATTATAACATAATAAAAGTCACAAAGCCCCAAGTAATTTTAGGAATTGAAGATGATTATATAATTACAAGCCAGTGGAAAAACACGGAGTAGCGAGTACTTATAGTAGGTGATATGAAATCCATCTGGGTACCAATTCCAAGTAGCGCAACCAACAATACAAGCATATAAAACAGTTAACCCATTTGAAACATTAAAAAAATACAAAATATAACACATCAAAATTCTAAAGAACTTGAGCAAATGAGTAAGCAAACAGCTAATTAAAACAAAACATTGCATCGATAATGAAGTCGAGTGCAAAGGCTCTATGGTGGAGTCGGAAGAAGTGGAAAGGTCAGAGAGGTCGGTTTGGTTGGATTGAGCGCAGAGAGATACGAGGCGAGACGATGGGCTGAGGGGAAGGAGGTGACGCTTATGGCGGGGGTGGAGATGGACGGTGGAGATGGATTTGTTTAGAGAGAGAAAGAGGGAGCTAGCCATCGGTTTTGGAGGAAATTTGAGTGAAGATTGCGAAAATCTTAATTGAGAGAAGAAGATGACATTTTGGGGCAAAAATTTCGGGTTAATGGATATTAGGTTTCTGGGGACGAAAACTTTGGGACATTTTGGGACGAAAATTTTGGGTTAATGGGTATTAGGTTTTTGGAGACAACAATTCGTCCCAGAAGAAAAAGGTTTTTAGCTACAAAATGTTTGTCCAAAAACAATACATTTCGTCCCTAAAAATGTATTTTTACAATCAAGAATAAAATCATATTTCATCTCTAATAAGTTTTCCAAATTTTGCACAATTACAGACAAAAAATTTCGTTCTAGAAAAAGAAGGTTTTTAGCTACAAAACTTTTCGTCCAAAAATAATAAATTTCGTCCCAGAATGATTTCCCTCCGTACTATTTCATCCTTCCCTCCAAATGGCATTGTTGGCGCGGGGCAAAAGTTTAGTGCTAATCATTTTGTGACGAAATTACAATTTCATCCCCTAAAATGACAATTCTGGGATAAAATTAAATCTGTCCCTAAATGTTAAATTTCTTATAGTGAGATGACCTTATGATAGGTCATATAAATTATTTACATCAATAAGTTTTATTTAACCTATAGCATATTTTGACATGAAACTCGGAAAGTAAAGTTTGAATTAATAAACTTTTCTTCCAACATATTGGAAAAACTAAGCCAAGTGGAAAAAGATATCAGCCTATTGTGTTTCAAAAACTCTACTACCTATGGTTTAAATGTGATTGCTTCATATATGCCACAATTTCATCAGAGTATCAGTAACTCTAAAATTTGAAGTTAAAAAAATAAACTTCATGGATTTTCAACTAGCATGATCCCCAGAGATACTGTCATATATCATTTACGTATGATTTGGAAAAATTATTCAAAATGACATATTAAACCATTGTGATTTTGGTGCCCGAGTAACAGGTTGACCTATTGCAAGGCTACTCTCTAAAAATATTCTCAGCTGTAGAGCATGATTCTATGTTAAGAGTTCAAAAGATCTCCATAAATTGCCCTCGTTGATAAACAACATTTTAACAACCTTGACTTAAGCCATTTGCCTGGTTTCAACTTCCATCAGCAACAAAAAGAGAACAAAGATAGAAATGTTTGCATTGCAGATGACAAATATCAATTGATTATATAAAGTTGCATCATATACTACTAAAAGCAACAATTTTCCAAAAAAAAAAAANTATATATATATATATATACACACATGACTATTATATTGGGATAATATCTTTCATAATTAGCATGCTAGAACATTTTCTTTATCTATGAAGCACCTTCTGTATCAAAGTATGTAGAGATTCTTCAAATTTGGTATTATCATATACATGATATTATAAGTTCTTCGCCTAAGCGTTAATCAAGTTGACGTTGAAATTAGATTTCGTGGACTATATTTCTATTAGTGAGTAGAAAATGTAACACCGTGAAATTTGAAGTTTTAAATTTGATTTAGGAGGTGATCTTAATTGTTTTATTATTATTATTATTTTTTTAAAGTGAATTGAATTTAAAGTTTAAAAACATTTTAAATGAATGTTTACTTAGTAAAATCTCGGTGCTTGAAAAGATAAAATCTAGTTGAATGAATGGACTATCATAGCTGTCGGTAGTGTTAGGAGATCACACAGCCAAAAACATACTTTCGAGATAAATAACATAGGAATAAAATCACATCAGACAAAGAAACACAATACTTATGTGGTTCGGCATAACCTGCCTATATCCACGGATGAGAGAAATCCACTATAGCTTCATGAACACGATATAGAAGAGTACACAATACCATAAACCCGATACATAAAACAGAGTAGAAACATTTTAGTTTCTAACCACCCTCAACCTAGTACTTAGAGTGGAAACAATCCTAGTTTCTAAGGCACTCTCCCTATGGTGTTTAATAACTCTTACATCAAATACCCTGTGTTTTCACATTCTCTTATAACCATGAATTGGTTCTCACCTCGATATTTATGGGTATTATATGAGATATTCTATTTTGAATAGGATTTATATTTCAATTTCTATTAGGACTCCTAAATTCTATTCCTATTTACAATTGTATTCTTTACTAAATTAGTTTTCCTAAAGACATACAATTTCATATAGGAATAAATAGGAAAACGAGCCACAATATCCCAACAATCTCCACCTTGACGAGTTTTCCATCACAACAATGAACGTGAGAGTTTTCCATCATAGCAATGAACATGATGAAGTTAACATTCACCATCACAACATCCAGGTCACAAAGTAACCATGTCAAATTCTGCTAGCATCTGGGTCGCACAGTAACCATGCCAAATTTTCCTGTCAAGATTTGACAACCACTCCACCTACAACTTAAACTTGTTCTAGTCCGTCTCTTATGTGCATCCACCATCTTGAAAGAACTCATCTCCTAGGTTGCAACTTGGAGCTCTAATACCACTTGTTAGGAGATCGCGTAGCGAAAAACATACTTTCGAGATAAATAACATAGGAATAAAATCACATCAGACAAAGAGACACAATATTTCTGTGGGTTGGCATAACCTACCTACATTCATGGATGAGAGAAATCCATTATAGTTTCATGAACACGATATACAAGAGTATACAACACCATAAACCTGAAACAAAGTGTGGTTAGAAACATTCTAGTTTCTAACCACACTTAACCTAGTACCTAGAGTGGAAACAATCTCAATTTCTAGGACACTCTCCCCGCGATGTTTAATAACCCTTACATCAAATACCCTATGTTCTTACATTCTTTCATAACCTTGAATTGGTTCTCACCCTTATATTTATAGGCAATATATGAGATATTCTATTTTGAATAGGATTCATATTTCAATTCCTATTAGGACTTCTAAATTCTATTCCTATTTACAATTGTATTTTTTACCAAATAGTTTTCCTAAAGACATATAATTTCACATGGGAACAAATAGGAAAGCAAGCCACAATATCCTAACAGGTAGCAGAAACATGGTGGATTGTAACAACCCAATTGCGTCCCAGATTACTAAGCTAAAGCTTGGTAATTGGGCTAAGCTTATAGAAAGTTGGGCATGTTTCCTTTCAAATCAAAGAATATACATAAAAGAAGCTTCAATAACTCACACTTCAAGTAAGCAAAAAATATTAATTTTTTATCTACCCTTTCCAATAATGTCATGGAGAAGTCCTTCATTTCAATTTCTTGGTGAAGCTTTAGCCCCTGTGCTTATTGAAGAGGAAGTAATTCAAAATAAATTTCCATTTCTCGGTGAAGATTCAGTACTGTGCTTGTTGAACAAGAAGTAGTTCAAAATCTATTATGTATATTTTTTTATTACTAGAGTTTGCCAGTCTTAGATTTTTTAACATTATGAAACAAAACTGGAATCTAAAGTAAAAGCCAATCCATGGAGTCTGGTTTCAGCAACATTTATTTTTGGAGTTTTATTCGTTGTACTTAACCTTGTTGAGGAGATGTAATGGCTAGTCTCTTCACATTCTTCATTTATATCTTCACTAACAAAGGTCATCACATCATCAAATGCCCATTCAGTCAAGTATCCAGGCTTAGAATTTACTGTACTTACTTCCATATCTCCATAAAGCATAGCAATCATGCAGGACATTGATGGCCTCGAGGAGGGCAATGTCTGAGTACACAAAAGAGCCACTCCTATTAGACCTTTTACATTTCCCTTACAGAAGTCAGACAATTTTGAGTCCACTAGTTCTAGTTGGCGGTTGTTCTTGTATAGATGCCAAGCCTGGGAATTAAGTAGGAAAGATAGAAGTTGTGATATGTGAGTGATTGGATCGGGAGAAGTAGAAAATAAAAGCAGAAATGGTATATAAATATAAATAAATAAATATATATATATATGTGTGTGTGTGTGTGTGTGTGTAGATCAAATTTGGGCTCGTTTGGTTCTTTCAAAATTGTTTATCAAGTACTATAAAATAGTAAAAGGAGAAAAAAATGGTACATCAATGTCATTACCCAATCAAGAAGATACATCTTCTCTTCTTCCAAGCTTGAATCCATGTTTGGCCTCCCACTAACAACCTCTAGAATCACAACGGCAAAGGCAAACACATCAGTCTTCTCTGTAAGATATCCATGCATGGCATACTCCAATATAAGATATCCACTAAATTAGCACAATAGAGAGAAAATTCATTTAAGTAATCTAATGAATGTAAAAACATAATATTTTAATAAATTTCAGGCATAAATTAAAAGTCTTACATTGTCCCTGCAACACGAGTGCTTATGTGAGTCTTCTTATCATCATAAAGTTTCGCCAAACCAAAATCTGATATTTTGGGGATGAGATCACCATCAAGTAGAATATTACTGGCTTTCATGTCTCTATGTATAACTCGAAGCCTCGATTCCTCATGAAGATAAGCTAGACCTCTTGCTACTCCCAAATATTATAATGCATTGACCAAGCAAGGTGAAACTTCCTTTTCCGCTTCGCAAAGTCCCAAAAATTTAAACTGTTATTGACATACATATATGCTAGACTCCTAAGAACTTAGTACAACATATATGCTATTCGCAACAAATAATGCTTTATCAAGACTGTTGTTTTCTAGATATTCATAAACAAGGATTTGTTGTGCTCTCTCAAAACAACATCCATGAAGTTTTACTAGGTTACAGTGCTGCACGGCATATATAGCAATTTCTCTGCAACAAGCTGCTCTTCCCGTGGTGAGATGCTACAGATAATTGCTTCACAGCAATTACTCTTCCATCACTAAGTATTCCCTATTGAGAAAAATGTTTAACTTGAAATGGTGAGAAAAATCATTAACAATTGACCAATTTTATATGCTTATTATTGACCAAATACCACATCCTGTCTTTATTTAATAGATGGCCCCTATTTACTGATATGAAGCCAAAAATATTATTTCAAGTCAATCTAGGACAAAAAGTAATGCTGAAACCTGTATTTAGTTCTTGAAAAATATTAATCTTAAGGCACCAATATGCCCACCGCTCATTTGGCACTTACTAGAACAATGACTTACCTTACAAACTGGTCCATATCCCTCCTCTCCAAGCTTATTTACAGAACTAAGTCTTCTGTAGCAGTCTTTAGTTCCATAACTGAAAGTGTATGGTCTACCATCCATGTCGAGAAGCTTTGAAATTCAACAACAAACTTAGCTTACTATCAGGAACTTGTTTGTCTAATCAAATACTTTAGTGGGTTTGTCAAGTCAAACATGTGAAATGCTAGAATAACAAATGCAATCGTCTAATCGTGGCATTGTACACCATTTTTGTGCCTGAAGGTAAGCAATTTGGTAAAAAACTAAAATGACCAGAGTTCCATATGTTTCAAAAAGATGGCATAGTTATGTTCCTTTTAATTAACCTAGAATCCAAGTTCTTATCTTGTAATGCACTAAGAAACTTACTAATGAACTCTGCTTTATGAATTGAATAAGCATTAATAAACACATTGTTCTTTTCTATGTACAATAGCTTTCTGTACATGAGCCCGAGTTTACTTGTAAATTATGTAACCATCCTTCTTATTCAAACATTTTAAAGGATTAAGTCAGCATATGGCTGAGATGCTAACAAAAATAAAGTAGAAACCAGATGTAAACTAACAACAGTATTTTCATAGCTAGTAAATATGAGAGATAGACGTCAGTGATAGCGAAGATCTTTTGATTTACCATCATCAATAATCTGTGGCCTTTTTCTTCTTCGGACACAGAAAATTGCAAGTAATAGAATTACAACCCCAAGAACAACACATCCCCACAATTAGGCTTGTTTTATTCTTCTCAGTGATTTGACTTGGTTCAAAATCCAATCAAAGCTCGGTAATTGATTCAATATCTTATATAATGCAAGAAAATCAGTTGAAAAGTGGAAAAAGGACAAAAAAGAAGTTGCTATTTATTGAACCTGGGGTAGCACTGATGGCCAAATGATGGTCCATATCTACCAATGTCAGAATCAACAAGTCCCCCCTTCCTAGCCCAAAACAGGGGATTTCCATATGTTTTCAACCAATATTCTCTTGAACTGCTCTTCCAAGGACTCCACCCGCTACCTTTGTTTGTCAAAGTCTTTTTCAACAAGATTTTCCTACAAAAAAAAATTTAAATGTTGAAACAAAACCATAAAAATTGAAAGGAAAGATATTGGAAACGTATTACTTTAGGTCATTCATCATGCTTTAACCTCAACATAAACCTATGTGATGGATAGGTGGAAGAATTTGGCTAAATTATCTAAATATTTAACCATACCTGAAGATATATATAAAAACACGCCTCCCCCATCCGGTAGTTAAATTAGCTAATTTTGCAAATTGGAGGTCACAATGTACTTTCCATTTTGAAGGCCCAAACCATAGTATCTAAAGATGAAGCCAAAGATTCGAGCACTTGGAAAGTCTCTACTCTTGAGTATTTGTGACTATAGACGCAGAATTAATCTTATACTGTAAATTATTGCTCCCAATAAGTATCCAACATTACTAACTCCCCATTTATTTGTGTCTATCAATAGTATTGTAGCAGGACCCAGAGTCTCAATGTCATTCTCATACAAATATCGTGAGATGTATTGTTTTGATCGACACATTATTGCAAAGCTCGAATCTGCATAAAATGTAACCTCTTATCAAGGTAAAAATTAAGAATATGTATGTCAAAAGTTTGAATTATATATCTAGCCACTTATTATTTTACTTTTATTTAATCAGTTGTGATTATATATTTTATATTATCATTTTTCTTTTTCACAATGAGAAAAAGGGTATTAGAAGGGTATATTAAGAAAAATATATCTTTTTAAGTGAATTAAAAATTTGAATGAGGGTGACTAAGGAAATATGAAGACAGGTAATTTATAGGAGGGTTTAATTGCAAAGAAAAATGAAAAATCTCGGTGTCTTATATCTTAGCCAAATAGATAGGAAAAGAAAAGAAAAGAAGATAATGTTAGAATTGAGAGGGTAAGAGGCAATTTGAAAAAAGCCGTAGTAGGCCCGAAGATATCTTTAGAAGAATTCAATTGTATTGTATTGAATTATTTTTGACTAGTGAATACATCACCTATTTATACAGAAGTTTAGCTGTTGAAACAGTCCCATATACGCAGCAGAAACAAACAAATATATTCAAGATCGTTTACATGAGCCAAGATCAGGGTATAATTTTTACATCATATTAAATAAAATCTGCAGAAAATAAATCTGAGTTTAAAGAAAACAAACGCACGTTGGAGGCTCCTCCAAATTTGCGACGAATGTTTTCTACCGATCCAAGTGTAGATTTGACCCACATAGTCTACACAAAGACAATCTCAAAGAACCAAAGAGGGATTTGCTAGATCCTCTTTGGCTTCAAGATTCGAAAAAAAAAATTCAAATAAAATTGATTTAGGCTAAAAAGTGTTACTCGCCGTGGGAGTGAAAAGAGAGGGCCTGTGTGTTTTTCAAAGAAAAATCTATCTCATTTAATTACACATTTTTTTCTTTATAGTTAATTAAGTTGCCCTAATCCCTATGGAATAGGCTTGGGCTCCAACCCAAATGCCCCATGTTGCTAAACACTCCCAATTTGATTTATTTTATTTTCCATCATTATCTCAATTAAAATCAATTAATATATATCATTATTTTTTTTTTAAATATATATTAACATTTAACAAAATGATATATTTAAATATGTGCAACACACATTTAACGTAATTTCACTTATTTAATTTTTCTAACAATTAAATAAGGCTACGACGTCGCCAATTTAATTGCACTGTGAAATTACCAAAATACCCTTTCGCTTTAAAAAGAAAAACGCCATTCTTTCTTCTTGGATCTTAAATTATCTTCTATGTGTGTGACCCATAGGCTCCTCATCAATCGGCATGTATAGTATCGTGATTAACACCAATTAATCGTCTCACTAATACACAGACCAAGATTGGCCCCTAGCAAGGTATTATGGCCACCCGATAGATTCGATTCAGCAAGTAGCTACCTGTCAACGATATGGTTACCGTGTAATTCGATCATTTCATTATACGTTATCTCGACGAGACAAAGGCATAGAAATAGTGTCAACCTTCGGTTACTCTCGATATTATTTTTTAGTTCTGGACCAATGACCCGTATTATAAACGGATAGAGCAACAACTCAATCCCACTGTCCACAGTTTTAGTGTCATTGCCATATACTGAATTGTGCGTGAGATAACTTTCTCTCCCATACCGTGAGTGATGAATCCTCTGTCAATCCATCCTAGTCTTGATACACTCCTTGATGCAGCCAATCACCACCGTATTGATAGCTCCGAAAAGAACTGCTTTAGGCTAGTGTAAACTAAACCAATCGATGCACAAGCGCCTCTGGTGATCTCAAGTCTAAGGATCACATGCACCACCATTCGTTAGGGATTTGTTCCGTAATACTAGGTTACATCCTATGGAATCCTCTGGTAGGTCAGTCCATGAACTTGCTGCGGTGTAATCGCCTAGCAAGCACCCATGTGTTGCACCAGTTTGTCACCAAACAACCTTGACAAGTGAGATTGTCACTGCCTTTCGACAGGGTCGTTCAACACTATGATAGCCTTACCGTATTATCTGTGCCCTTACTTCAGAATAATACTGGGGGCTACGAACGTTTCTAGAATGGCCACCATATGTGCTCATAGGGTTCTCACTATCAAGATTTGAAACACTTGATACCCTCGTCACGGTTCTACCATTCTAAGGACATATATCAATACATATTGCAATAATGATTTTTACGCGATATAAATAAAATGCATTTTATTGATTAATGAACATTATTACAAGTCAATTCTACAATAATTGATTGGCTCATGGGCATCTACTCTAACATTAGCTATACAATAAGGAAACAAAATTATGTAATTACACTCAATCAAGGATTGATTGATTGAGTGATTTTTGGGTGATTGTCATCACAATAATGTAATTTCATTATCAAGGAATTGATTGATTAATTGATTTATTTGGGGTGATTGGCATCATCTAAGTGATTAGCCACAATCATGGCATTCATATTTCATCATATAAGCTTTCCCTCGTTATTACAAAGAGTTAGCTATGAGTGAGAAGAAAATAAGGACAAGAAGAGAATGAGGAGAAGGAAAGAAAAAGAGAAATAGTAAAAAATTGGGGTTAAAATAGAGAGTCACACAAGAATTTACTAGAGCTGGAAAATATTTAATTGGCTGGATTTTGGATTGACAATTATATCAAAGTCGGTTCGCGATTCAACAATGTAGTGTGACGACCTCACGAGGATGTGAGGTCCATAAGGTAAAGAGTTTGTTAATCTCACATTGCTAGCAAATGAGTTTAGGATTCAATTTATAAGGCTTAGGTCCTTATAACTAAGTAGATGCATTTTGGGTGTTTGACGATTGTGTGAAGCCCGAAAGCAAACACATGCAAGCCTACATCCAAATGATTAAATCTAGAGGATAATATCTACTTAGTTGGACCCTATTCAAAGCCATGAGCATAGATATATTATGAAAATATATAATCCTTAATTTGAAGTTGTATGAATTGATGTATTTAATAAAATATTGGTGTGGCCAGAGATAACATGTTTGTTATGTATGTTGTCGGTTGATGAATGGCTATTAGAAGTGTTTTTAATAAAATATTTAAATCTGGGATGAGCGTTAAAATAGGCGTTCCTCTACCTAAATTTTAGCCCTAAACTCTCGAAATCATGAAATGGAGAAGTTGTACTTACAGATTCCAAAACCTCGATTGCAAGGAAAATTGCGTTGGAGACAGTTCAGCCCATACGGGAGAACACTAAAGGAAGGGGAAGAACAGAGAAATCATGTTAGACAGTGAAAACTAGCAACTAAAGAACCCATTTCCATAAGTTATCCATTATTATTCATTTTCTATATTGTTATAGAGAGTTAAAGCATTTTAACAAAACATAGAACAAGAGAATTACCTGCTGGAATTAGAACTTTCTAGGTTGAAGTTGTTGGCCACTAAGTTACTGCACATTGCACCAATAACATTTTGAATGTTAGTTTCATCATTGTGTAAATACTATACTGGAAAGTAAAAACTTATCTACTAAAGTGTGAAATGTATAGTAAAGATGTTAAAAAAATTACATGATTAAAAAAATTAAGGACATACAATGGTAAATTTTGTTGTTGAATCCAAGAAGGCAGGCTGCTAGATAGATTATTGTAAGATACATCTCTGCCAACATCAGGTGAGGAGAATGTTAACTACATAATGCAGCTGCTTGCGAGTATAAAATTTAGACATTATTGAAATAACACAATTTTTATTTTTTTTTTTATAAGCTTTTGAAACCATCTAAAATCTCAACTTCCCAATTTTTTTTTCCTAGGAACCCCACAAGTCTAAGTAATTTACTTTAATCCAAAAGAAGCTATGCACTTGAAAGTCTAGATTGAGAATGCAAGTTTAGCCGTTCGCTAGACTGACTTTGGCTACAAACTAGGGTTCTTGGAAAAACTTGACCTATAACTATACCTTTTCAGTCGGTACAGCTAGTTGAGCATTCTATTTTGGGAATGCTGTAAAGAGGTCAACACAAATATGTCAAAAGTACTTACATATTGAGAAGTCTTGGACCTTTCTCTGCAAGGAGGGTACCATTTAACTTATTATTTCCAAGAAACCTGAGTACAAAACTAGCAATTCATGCTTCACTATAATGAGTACATATGGATTATGGGAAGTAAAAGCTACAACAAATAAAAAATGATAGGTTACAGGTAAGCCAGCGAACTCAAATTGAAAAGTGAGATAGGAATCTGTCCACTTATATTGTTGAAGCTCAAATCTCTGAAGAAAAAATATTAGAATTTACAATTAAAAGATGAAGAAACTTGCTAACAACCAAAAAGAAATGGAGGTAAAAATAAAAGAGAGAAAGGGAATAAATAACTTACAGATGCTGCAAACTCTTGTAGTAAATAATGTTAGATGGAATTGAAACAGAACTTAGTACTCTATAGTATATGGAGCCAACAGTCTTGAACACATGATATTACAACTTTGACAATGTTGCCTTACAAGGTAGTTAAAGATTTCAGATTCCTTATAAATGCCAATGACGATGAGCTCCCACTTGATAAATCGCTTATTATCCTACATTTTTATTTTTCATGGGATGAAGATTGTTAGTTGATTATTTCAATAGTAAAACATGATCAATGAAATATTGTTGGTGAACACTAACAACTTGGAAACNGTGGCCATTCTAAAAATGTCCGTAGCCTCAGTATTGTTCTGAAGTAAGGGCACAAACAATATGGTAAGGCTATCATAGTGTTGAATGACCCTGTCGAAAGATAGTGACTGATCTCACTTGTCAAGATTATTTGGTAACAACCTGGTGCAACACATGGGTGCTTGTTGTAGGCAAGTTCACTGGACTGACCCACCAGAGGATTCCATATGGATGGTAACCCTAGTGTCTATAGAACAAATCCTCTAACGAATGGTGGTGCATGTGATCCTTAGACTTGAGATCACCGGAGTGCCTTGTGTACCGATTGGTGTAGTTTAACACTAGCCTAATGCAGTTCTATTTAGAGCTGTCAATACGATAGTGATTGGCTACATCAAGGAGTGTATCAAGACTATGGTGGATAGACAAAAGATTCATCCCGGGTACGGGAGAAGCTATCTCATGACGCAATTCAGTAAATGGAAATGACACTAAAATTGTGGTCATAGTGGGATTGAGTTGTTGCTCTATCCAGTTTATAATTCAGGTCATTGGTCTAGTAAATGAATACATAATATTGAGAGTAACCGAGGTTGACACTATTTATATGCATTGGTCTCATCGAGATAATGTTTGATGAAAGGATTTGATTGTACGGTAACCATATCGTTGACAGGTAGCTGCTTCGCTGAATCCGAATCTATCGAGTGGCCACGATGCCTTGCTAGAGGCAAATCTTGGTCTATGTGTAGTGAGACAATTAATTGGTGTTAATCACGATACTATACACTGCTGGTATGATAAGGAGCCTATGGATCACACACATGGAAGATAATTTAAGAACCAGCTCGTAAGAAGGGCATTTTCGTCTTTTTAGGCGAAAGGGTATTTTGGTAATTTCACATTGTAATTAAATTTGCTGAGGTCGTAGCCTTTATTTAATTTGTTAATTATATTAAATAAGTGAAATTATATTTAAACATGTGCTCACATATATTTAAATGAATTATTGTTATTGTTAAATGTTAATATATGAAATATATGAAATATATATTAATTGAATTTAATTGAAATAACAATAATAATTATAATTAAAATATCTTAAAGGGGTTGTTTGGATACAAGGGGTGTTTGGGTTGGAGCCCAAGCCTATTCCATGATGGAATAGGGCAAAGTGTGCACTATATAAGTGCAACACTTTGTGAATTATTTAATTAGTTCATTTTCAATCATTGAAAGCAAAATATTCCAACCCCTTTTTCTTCTCTCCCATGCCAGATTTCTTTTGCTTGAATCAAATATTTCATTTCATTTTTCATCTTGGTTCTTAAAGGCTAAAGAGGATCTAGCGAATCCCTTTTTAGTTCCTTGAGGTTGTCTTCGTATGGACTACATTGGTTTGATCTTACAACTGGGTCGGTAGCGAAACCCATTCTGAGACAAGTTGGAGGAGCCACCAAACGTGGGTATGGTTTCTTAACTTTAAACTGGTTTTCTGTAGATTTTGTTATAATGTATAAACTGTAATTTTTGTGCCTTGATCTTGGTTCTATGAAACGATCTCGAATGTAAATTATTTTGTTTTCTGCTGCCATAGATGATCGGTTCCTAATAGTAAACACCACCCTTTGAATCTTTAATGCTTCGTCTCTTCTAGGATCACTCCACACCAGGAACACTCGCGGATAATGCTTGAGCTCCACCCAAGCTTCACTCGTCGAAGAACACCTCTAGCTTCCACGGCTTGAACTCCTTTCAAGCTCTAGGCGTAGGAACCAAGTTCTAGCAACAACAAGCAATAAACAAAGATGAAAAAAAATGATTTAAGCATTAAACCATACATGGAACCTGTCAAGGAATAAACTCTCTAAAAATTTTAGAGCACAAACAAGGAAGAAGATGAACTTCCTTTTAGCTCACAGTAAAGGAACCATGTTCCAAGTAAACACTCATCAACAAGCTAAAATATGATCAGCAAAGAATGAACAAAACCCCATAAACAAAGAAGGGAACTTGATTGAAATGATCTTTAAAATTTCAGAGAATTAAACAATGAAAAACCAGGTTCAAAGATGCAAGGAAGAAGAAGATGGGTTTAAATAATCCTTGTTTGACCAATCTCTTTAAGGCAAGTGGCAGACAATCTCTTTTATCTTTTGTTGGGACCACCCAAAAAAGGTCACCAACTTTGTAGGACAAGAGGAGAGGTAGAACTCACACAAAAACCATGAAAGGGATAAAACTTGATGGGCAAGATAATGTAAGAAAGTTGCCACATGTGCCAAAAGAATCAGAGTACGAACAAGTTCAATATCAAAGGTTGGCTTTACAAATAAGCAAGAATGATAAAAGGCCAATTTCGTGTACTCCAATTCTAGCCAGGTCAACAGACAAACGCTAACATGTGTTGGTCCAAAAATAGAAATGTTTTTAGCTTTAGTTTAGGACCACAACCGAAAGGGGAAAAAAGCTGATTTTCCCTGGACCACTAAAGGATATTGGGACACTTGTAAGTGGTCCAAATGATAGTACCAAAGATGCAAAGAAAAAATCTTAGCTGTTAAGTAAAAAACACAACTTGTAAAAAATGAGTCAGACATGTGATGTTAGCAAAACAGAAATGTGTGCGTACACAAGAAGTAAAATGCGAAATGAAATGCAACATGCATATGTGTAACTTTACTGTGCACACACACACAGCAACTGTGCGCATAAACAACATAAGTTTGACAAAAATATTCAAGAATCTCCCCCTTTGTCAAACTTATGAGCAAAGAAACAAATTGATCATAAGATCAATGTAAACCTATCTCATAAAAACAACCAATCAAATAAACTGAGACAAGAAATAAACACAAACACAAAGGCGACCAATAAAAAAAAAATGTTAGCCAACACAATATGAATCAAGGCAAATATGAAATAGAAAACATCAAAGAAATTCAACAAGTAATCAAGCTAAAACAAACTCCCCCTCAGCAAAAGTTCATCAAAGTCAATCAGTTCTAAACATATAAAGAGAGTTAGGAAAAAAAAAAACTTAAAAATAACATATCCAACTTCCAACTCCACTCCCTTTCAATTCAATATCCTCTCCTCCTCTTTCTTCATAAGGTTTGAACCAAACCTCAATGGCAACTTGATCAACGAGTGGGAAGAATTCCTCAGCTTGCTTTCTTGACAGAGATGACTTCTGAAGATCCATGAAGCAAATGGAGAGATAATCCTAAAGAAACAAACAAGATTAGAGCAAAGAGTTGAAAAAAAATCAAGGGCGGCGCAAAAGGGTTTGATTGCAAACAAGAGGTGTGATAGCACAATAAAATCAAAAAACCTAAAAACAAGATTCACTTAAATAAGGACTCTACTCAACCATATGTGTGCACCATGTGATAGTGTGGGCACACAACAAGCAAACTTAGCAAAGCGTAAGAGCATTCAACATATGTGAGCACGCAAGGAGTAGTCATGAAGAAAACAAGTCTTTTAAACAAGTTGTAGGCACAACATCCCAATTTGACAACAAATTCCAAAAGCATCAGACTTTATTTATTCAAATTTAAAAAGATGAATCAATGAGAAGTTTCACTTGATTTTTAAGGATCAAGACATATCAATCTGTGCCAATCAACCTAAGTGTCTGATTCTCAATCTTGAAATGCACATAAGTCATAAGGAAGATACCAACATTAAGAACAATCTAGACAACCATTCCTTAATCACAAGCAAGAGAAGAATAGTCATAAGATTTCATCTAAGTGTGTGATAGTGTCCTCAAGGGGGGTAAAATGACACATTGGTCAAGAATATTTGCAAAAGAAACTCCCCCTTCCCTCATGCCCTATAAGATTTGCATTTTTTTCTTTTTCATCTTTTCAAGAAATTTAATTTGTCTTTTTCATTTTTCTATAATTTTTAGAAACNCCACAAGTCTAAGTAATTCACTTTAACCCATGAGAAGCTATAATAATCACATTCAGAAATATGGTAGGGATTGTTTTATAGTCATAGTGAATATATTTAACTAGATTTATATAGGAATTCCATAAAAGTTTCAATAGGGGCAAAATGGTCATTTCACATAGAATCATGTGTTCAAGTGAAAAGTGAGTATGATAAATATAATGTATTAAGTGTGCTAGCCATGAGAATATAGTGGTAGAAAGGTTATGGACAATACACATGATGTGATGCCAAGATAAATACGTGTTTGTGAAGTAATAGAAAGAAATTAAAGAATAAGGGTAAAATGGTCTTTTCACTCACAACTAGATGAAAAATGGGGAGTGAAGATGACCAAGAAAATGTGTTAAATCCATTGAAAGTGAGGGTATATCAGTAAATGCACGTATGACATAATTGGAATTATCATAAAAGTGCAAGGGCAAAATGGGAATATATATATAGTTAGTTATAAGGTTTCAATAAACTAAACCCTAGCCATTCCATCCCTTGTACATGCCACCCTCATCCAATTTCTCTCAAACTTCTTCACCAAATTTTAAAGAGAATTCATAAGAATTGGCTTCAAATTTTGTAGATTTTCAATCCTAAAGCATCCAAAGATAAGATTCTAGCACAAAAGTGTGTGATTAAACTTTAAAGTTTTAAATTCTTATGGTTTTATATGATCTAGGTCCAAGAGGATGAGAATTTTAGCAAAGGGAGGTTATATCATTAGTGTTGCACAAATTCAAGGTAAGTAAATCCAATTTTAGTTTTGATTCGAGCAATAATTGTGTAGATTGATTCTTGTATGTTTGTATGTGATTGTATGGTGAGAATTATTGGTTGTTTTAATGTTGAATGGTGTGTAAAATTCCAGCCATGAGAAGTAGTTCACGTGTATGTGGTGATTTGGTTGNCGCAAACAAGAGAGAACTTATACTAATGTGCTAGCACAGATAAATAGTCTTGACAAACAAAAAGAAAGGAAACTCCTTCATGCTTTATTCAACAAAACAAAAATAACTATTCAAGTTGAAGTAGTCCAATGGACTTCCTCAAAAAAACAAATGTATCATAGACAAGTGCTTTTGTGAATAAATCAGCCAATTGGGATTTTGTACTCACGTGTGCAAGAGCAATGACTTTTTCTTCAACTAACTCTCTCATGAAGTGATGTCTTGTTAGTTTACCTTGTTGGCATGGACCACACACATTGCCTTTGGGAGGTTCAAGTATTGTTAACCCTATAACATCTCTTTTTGAGAGCCTGACCAAATCCTTGAAATTCATATGATGAAGCTTCTCATGCTACAAGTCAATGCATTCTATCATAGAGCTGAAACATGAAACACAGCTAAAGAGCAAATAACAATTGTCGTTGGATCTTTTTCCTTCAATTATGGAGATGCCATCACCATTCAAGGTTTGACAACTGTTCTTTGAAAATTGAACTACAAAGTTCCTATCACAAATCTGACTAATACTAATCAGATTGGCCTTCAAACTTTCAACAAGAATAACATCATTTAACAAAGGAAAACCAAGTAGAACAATTGATCCATTTCCAAGAATCTTGCCTTTCTTACCATCACCATATGTAACATGTCCACATCAATGCGCTCAAGATTAGACAATAAAGATTTAATTCCTGTCATGTGTCTAGAACAACCACTATCTAGATACCAAAGGTCATTTTGAGATGTAAGTAATGAGGTATGAGACATAAAACAGTTCACATCAGACTTTGGTTTCCACACCCTTTTGGAAGAAATACCATTTTTAGCATGTCTGTTTGCATGAGAGAGCAAATCATGTTTTTCAATACATTTTCTTAAATAAGCAATGAACTTAAGGAATTTGGGTTTGATGTGTCCCTTTTTGTTATAGAAATGAAAAATGGGAAGAAATCTTTTTACCTTCACAACTTGTTCCCCTTCAGCAACCTCAGTAGGAATTTCAGTAGCTTTAACAAACGTGCATGCACCAGAAGTCGATGTACTAGCACTAAGATTGAAACCCAAACCAAACCTTTCTCCAAATGACTTACCTTGTTCAAGCACTTCATCAAGCTTGACTGTACCTACATTAAATTTCTCAACAATAGCCTTAGCCTCAATTAGTTCAATAGTTAATACCACAATTTTTTTGGACAAAATTTTCTTTTCCTTCACCAAGGTTTCATTTTTAATTCCAAGGGATTGAAACTTCTTAATAACCTTTAACCATTGATCATACATTTTGTCATATGCTTCTTGTTGTTCAGTATAGACATCATGGGAGTTGTCAGAAGACTCACTCTTCTCATCTTCTTGGTTCATAGTAAAGGCTAGAACATTTTCATAATCAATAGACTCATCTCCCTCACTTTCACTCTCATCTTTGTCACCCACACTCATAATGGCTTCCATTGCCTTACCGTTCTTCTTTTTCAGTGTGTTAGCACACTTAGATTGTATATGCCCAAAGCCTTCACATTCAAAACACTTGATACTTTTATTTTTCTTTTCTCAACCTTTTGAAAATCTTTTTGAAAAGGTACTAGGGTTTTAATGATCATTAGACTTTTTCACAAAAGGTTTTCAGCCATTTCCATTATCAATAGGCTTTTTCATGTTTTTTCTTAAGAAACTTAGCAAAGTCTTTTGCAAGTAAAGCATAATTTTCATCATCCAAGGAACTAAAATCACAATCATCAAAAGGATCAGAATCAACCTCATTTTTGAGAACCAAACCTTTGCTCGGTTTCTATTTATCCCAACGTTTTAGATTCAATTCATAGGTTTGGACAGAGCCAATTAGTTCATCAATTTCCATGGCATCCACATCGTGACATTGCTCAATAGTGGTCACCTTTGACATAAACCTTCGGGGTAAAAAGCAAAGAACCTTCCTAACAAGTTCAGCATTAGAATACGTTCTTCCCCAAGCAAAACATTCATTAGAAATATCACAGACTCTACCATAAAAATCAGTTATAGTCTCATCCTCTTTCATGTTCAGATTTTCAAAATTAGTGACAAGTCTTCTAAGCCTATTTCTTTTAACAGCACTAGTTCCCTCATTCTTGACTTTAAGCCTATCCCAAGCATCTTTAGCAAGTTCACAATTAGCTATGACTTTAAATTGCTTCATATTAACAGCATTAAAAAGAGCATGAATGGCTTTAGAGTTATAATTTGCAAGAGTTAACTCAACAGTTGTCCAATTAGCAACAGGTTTTGGTCTAGACACTTCATTTTTAACAATAACTGGGGCTGTCCAACCATTCACAACCATGGACCAGACTCTTTTATCGATAGACTTAAGAAAAGCACGCATCCTAGTTCTCCATGTGTAATAGTTAGGTCATTCTAACAAAGGTGGTCTATGAGTAGATCCTCCTTCAATGAAGAAACTCATGATGAAAAACAATCAGAAAAATGCTAACACAACAAACGGCAGTGCACACACAGAAAAGCAACAAATCTAAAATAAAATGCAAAACAGAATAGATTTTGGCCAAACATAAGACCACTCAGATGCACACAAAAACAAGCAAAATGGGTATGGATCTACTTAAACTTATTATAAATTGCTTTGATACCACTTGTTAGAGATGATGAACTCTATTCAATGTTAGATACCCCTTTTTTAAGTGTAGCGGAAGATTTTACCAAATTGATTAATGGTTATCAAGTAAAGCATGAATCAACAACCACAAGCGGTAAAGATAAAGCACACAAGCATATACATGGTTCGGCTAAAACCACTCTTAGCCTACATCCATGGGACCCTGTCCAGATCGAACCTAATCCACTATAACAACAAACATTACAAGATATCACTCAGAGTTGATTTTGGCTAGAGCAAAGAGAACTCCCTATTCTACGTTACACTTGTTAGAGTAGGTGCCCTAGAGCTAATCAATTATTGTAGAAATGACTCTTTGTAATAAAGTTTATTGATCAATAAAAGGCATTTTATTCTATATTACGTAAATCATCATTGTATGTATTGATATATGTCCTTAGAATGGTAGAACCGTGACGAGGGTATCAAGCATTTCAAATCTTGATAGTGAGAACCCTATGAGCACATATGGTGGCCATTCTAAAAATGTCCGTAGCCTCAGTATTGTTCTGAAGTAAGGGCACAAACAATATGGTAAGGCTATCATAGTGTTGAATGACCCTGTCGAAAGATAGTGACTGATCTCACTTGTCAAGATTATTTGGTAACAACCTGGTGCAACACGTGGGTGCTTGTTGTATACAAGTTCACTGGACTGACCCACCAGAGGATTCCATATGGATGGTAACCCCAATGTCTATAGAACAAATCCTCTAACGAATGGTGGTGCATGTGATCCTTAGACTTGAGATCACCGGAGTGCCTTGTGTACCGATTGGTGTAGTTTAACACTAGCCTAATGCAGTTCTATTTAGAGCTGTCAATACGATAGTGATTGGCTACATCAAGGAGTGTATCAAGACTATGGTGGATAGACAAAAGATTCATCCCGGGTACGGGAGAAGCTATCTCATGACGCAATTCAGTAAATGGAAATGACACTAAAATTGTGGTCATAGTGGGATTGAGTTGTTGCTCTATCCAGTTTATAATTCAGGTCATTGGTCTAGTAAATGAATACATAATATCGAGAGTAACCGAGGTTGACACTATTTATATGCATTGGTCTCATCGAGATAATGTTTGATGAAAGGATTTGATTGTACGGTAACCATATCGTTGATAGGTAGCTGCTTCGCTGAATCCGAATCTATCGAGTGGCCACGATGCCTTGCTAGAGGCAAATCTTGGTCTATGTGTAGTGAGACAATTAATTGGTGTTAATCACGATACTATACACTGCTGGTATGATAAGGAGCCTATGGATCACACACATGGAAGATAATTTAAGAACCAGCTCGTAAGAAGGGCATTTTCGTCTTTTTAGGCGAAAGGGTATTTTGGTAATTTCACATTGTAATTAAATTTGCTGAGGTCGTAGCCTTTATTTAATTTGTTAATTATATTAAATAAGTGAAATTATATTTAAACATGTGCTCACATATATTTAAATGAATTATTGTTATTGTTAAATGTTAATATATGAAATATATGAAATATATATTAATTGAATTTAATTGAAATAACAATAATAATTATAATTAAAATATCTTAAAGGGGTTGTTTGGATACAAGGGGTGTTTGGGTTGGAGCCCAAGCCTATTCCATGATGGAATAGGGCAAAGTGTGCACTATATAAGTGCAACACTTTGTGAATTATTTAATTAGTTCATTTTCAATCATTGAAAGCAAAATATTCCAACCCCTTTTTCTTCTCTCCCATGCCAGATTTCTTTTGCTTGAATCAAATATTTCATTTGATTTTTCATCTTGGTTCTTAAAGGCTAAAGAGGATCTAGCGAATCCCTTTTTAGTTCCTTGAGGTTGTCTTCGTATGGACTACATTGGTTTGATCTTACAACTGGGTCGGTAGCGAAACCCATTCTGAGACAAGTTGGAGGAGCCACCAAACGTGGGTATGGTTTCTTAACTTTAAACTGGTTTTCTGCAGATTCTGTTATAATGTATAAGCTGTAATTTTTGTGCCTTGATCTTGGTTCTAAGAAACGATCTCGAATGTAAATTATTTTGTTTTCTGCTGCCATAGATGATCGTTTCCTAATAGTAAACACCACCCTTTGAATCTTTAATGCTTCGTCTCTTCTAGGATCACTCCACCCAGGAACACTCGCGGACAATGCTTGAGCTCCACCCAAGCTTCACTCGTCGAAGAACACCTCTAGCTTCCACGGCTTGAACTCCTTTCAAGCTCTAGGCGTAGGAACCAAGTTCTAGCAACAACAAGCAATAAACAAAGATGAAAAAAAATGATTTAAGAATTAAACCATACATGGAACCTGTCAAGGAATAAACTCTCTAAAAATTTTAGAGCATAAACAAGGAAGAAGATGAACTTCCTTTTAGCTCACAGTAAAGGAACCATGTTCCAAATAAATACTCGTCAACAAGCTAAGATATGATCATCAAAGAATGAACAAAAACCCATAGACAAAGAAGGGAACCTGATCGAAATGATCTCTAAAATTTCAAAGAATTAAACAATGAAAAACCAGGTTCAAAGATGCAAGGAAGAAGAGGACGGGTTTAAATAATCCTTGCTTGACCAATCTCTTTAAGACAAGTGGCAGACAATCTCTTTCATCTTTTGTTGGGACCACCAACAAAAGCTCACCAACTTTGCAAGACCGCAAGAGGAGAGGCGAACACCTATAAAGAGAAAATTCACACAAAAACAATGAAAGAGATAAACTTGATGGGCAAGATAATATAAGAAAGACGCCACATGTACAAAAAGAATCAGAGTATAAACAAATACAATATCAAAGGTTGGCTTTTCAAATGAGCAAGAATGATAAAGGCCAATTTCGTGCACTTCAATTCTAGCCAGGTCAGTAGACAAAGGCAAACATGTGTTGGTAAAAAAATAGAAATGTTTTCAGCTTTAGTTATGGACCACAACCAAAAGGGGAAAAAGGCTAATTTTCCCTGGACCACTAAAGGATATTGGGACACTTGTAAGTGGTCCAAATGACAGTACAAAAGATGCAAAGAAAATATCTTAGCTATTAAGTAAAAAACGCAACTTGTGAAAAATGAGTTAGACATGCAATGTTAGCACAACAGAAATGTGTAGGCATACACAAAGTAAAATGCGAAATGAAATGCAACATGCATATGTCTGACTTTACTGTGCACACACACGCAGCAACTGTGTACATAGACTACATAAGTTTGACAAAAATATTCAATAGGAAAAATGTTTATGTACATTAGAAAATTTCCAATCAGCAGATTAACATAATCCAAAAGTCCTTACATTGTTTCAAGGTTCCTTAGATTAGCCAAACTTGAAGGAATCTTACCACTAACTTTGGTATTGTCAACATATCTGCCGAGGCAAATAATATTCATAAATTCCATCAAAATTAATAACCTGTCTCCAAAATAATACATTATCAAGAAACGAATTAATGAGACACATGATTGTGCAAAATATTTTAGAGTAGATAAGCAATTTTTTTTTTGCATTGCTAATGAAACAGAAAAGCCTATAACAACTTAAAATTTCTTTAATTTTGCCAAGTTACCAAGCTCAAATGGTAGAGGCCTAGAGAAGCCACTTGTTCCCATATACAGCTTCTCCAGTTTTGACAACTTACCAAGCTCAGGTGGTATAGGACCAAAAAAGGTATTTGGTCCAATACCACTACAACCCCAAGAATTTAGTTCTGCAGATATAATATTGCAATGCAGTTACACAACCGAGTTCATTTAGATAAATTCTTTTACAGTTAAGAAGGGAATAAACTTTAGACTTATAGATATACTAACTCAGGAA